TCTGTTTGACATTAATATTTTCCACCGGCTTATTTTTCACTTTTATTGTCAGCAATGTTTACACACAATTTCAATCATTTCAGATTGGGTATTGATTGTAGAACCTATAAAACAGAAACARTACTTGATGCACCGTCATACGAGCCAAAAAACATGTCATGCACACTACAGAATCACACTTTGGCCTTCAGTTGTGTTTCTAAAAATCCAAGCCAGGTCCGACTGTGTCCTTGCCGAGACTTTCAGCCTCAACAAGTTGCTTTATGCAAATCATGTTCATAGTACAGACATCTTGTTTAGAATGTTTCACCTAATTATAGATAGTAAAGAAAAATAAGTTTATAGCAGATGTAGTCATGTAAGGATGATATTTGATGTTTCTGCGTGGCATGTCCTCTTAGTTAAGACTACTCCTCTCTCCTCTTGCTTATTTACCATGGCTGGCGTCATCGAAGTCGAGTGGATAAACTGGATAAATTATTACATGTTTAGTAGTAGGAATTATTTAAAAAAGGAATTTGGTTTTTAGAATTGCTGCGATATAGAGTCATTTTCATCCGTCTGTGAAACAATTACTACTAGTCAGTGTTTAATAGTAACTATTGGGTGTAGTAGGCTACCAAAAGGCAAAATCAATATAATACCGTTTTTGCCTAATTTGTTTGTCGCGTGTCATAAGTTAAACTCTGTTTGGGGCTAATAGGGGGTATTAGTATTACACCTTTTGCTGTTCATTAACCGCGAAGGGACTTTCAATCAAGCGAAACTGCATTGTCTTTAGCGCGAACGAACGTTCATTAACGCTTAGGKARKTTCARGAGCGTGAAGGGAGAATCATTAACATATTTAGCATAGACATGGACAATCATGCATAACTGGGCGCAGATTCATTAACGTTTTCAAACCTTCATTAGCCCATTATGTGCATTCAATAAACTACAACAAACATACAATACCAAAATACGGACATTTAATTTCGTCATAGTATTTATTTCTAGAATTTAAAGAGTGTTTAATRAGTGTGATATTTTACATACAAAAATTATCTTCATCCTTGAATATGCTCTCTATTTAAGCATCTTGGTAAATAAGTTTGCATATGGTTGCGGTAGAACTATTAACCCCCAATGTAGCGGCAACCGCTAGATAATCCTCGGCCGGGTCCTCATACGCTCTTACAAGACGCTCTTTCACTTCGCTCGAAATTCGATGTCGACGCGGAGGCATTGCATTCCAACTTTAAACAAGTCGTAGTAGCTGTAACGAGTCATATTTCATGCTGAAATTTGACTGCAAAAACTATGACGAAATTAAATGTCCGTATTTTGGTATTGTATGTTTGTTGTAGTTTATTGAATGCACATAATGGGCTAATGAAGGTTTGAAAACGTTAATGAATCTGCGCCCAGTTATGCATGATTGTCCATGTCTATGCTAAATATGTTAATGATTCTCCCTTCACGCTCTTGAAACTCCCTAAGCGTTAATGAACGTTCGTTCGCGCTAAAGACAATGCAGTTTCGCTTGATTGAAAGTCCCTTCGCGGTTAATGAACAGCAAAAGGTGTAA